AAACGTGCAAAAATAAGACTTCTCTGTTTTATAGGATTAAAAGTCTATTAAAATGGCAATTACCTTTCATGAAAAAGTTAAAAGTTTTCTAGGCTCCCTGCAAGCCCGTTGTAACTTCCGTCCTTCGTTGTGTTCGCCGCCAACATCCTCCGATGACGCCACCGCTCTTCGATGAGTCCATGCAAGGTTGCAACTCCAACGAGAGTGTCATTTGATATAAAACATTTTCATGTAGAAACTTGACTTTTTGAAATTGTAAAAATATAGAATTTCAAATGAAAAAATAAAGGCATTTTAAGATTCTCATTTTTCTAGGAATTATGTAATCATCAAACTACAAATTAAAATGTAAAATACAAGGGAAAAAAATGAAAATGAAGAATCAGAATCAATATTGCTTTTTATACATTTAGTGTCATAAAAATGACATCATTTTTCAAACAGATAAAAAGATTTGGAATTACAAATACAATAATTTCAAATGAGATTATCATCTTGATAAATGTAATGACATAAATGTGACATTTTTTCAAATAACTAATAATTATTAGATTCTGAGATTTTAAAAGTAGCACTTTCCTAAGAGATAAACTAATCAAAGTTGATATATAAATAAAAACTCAAATTCAGATATTTAAATATGATCACTCGCCCTCATGTGAAATCTAGCTTTAAGGAAGTTAATGAAAGGGCCATACTACCTTTCAAAAAAAAAGGACCGTACTAGATGACCGACCAAAATGCTTGCCAAAGAACAACTAATGAAATCAAACCTGAAAGTGCAAAAAAAAAAATGCAAAAGATTCGTTGAATTGACTTTTCTTAATATGAAATTATTTTAAATATGAAAATTATATTATTTCTATCCAAAAAAGATTGATCAATTTGACTTTTCTTGATTAATGATGTTAAAGTTTAGACAATTATTTTAGGTATTATATTTGGGTTTAATTTATGAATTGTATACTTTTATAAAAGAATATGCTCATATAGTTTTCATATTTTAGATAATTTTGTATTAAAAATGTCATTGATCAAACTTGACAATCATTGACCAAGAAAAATCAAATTTGTCAATCTTTTTGAGACGGAGTGAGTATCAAAATGTTCCTTGTTCAAAACATTTTCATAAAAGTATAAATTTATAAATTATGAATAAATACGACAAAAGTCACCATTGATAAAAAGTCATGCAATATCACAAAACTTTTCATGATTCTCAAATTTGAGAATTTAAAAATTGAGCATTTAAAATTGAGCATTCGAGAAATATTGAGAGGCTTCAAAACTCTCCAAACCATTCTTCCTTATTTTTTAAACTCCCAAATAAGAAAGAAAAGGCGATTAACCTTCTTCACCCTTTCCCTCTCCTCCAAAATAAGCATATTGTTGGCGTCATTGTTCATGGTTGACATAATGATGATCCTTTCGTGACTGGCCCCCTTGAGTGGTACATCAGGGCCGATTTTAGACAAATGGGAGCATTGTGAAAGAGAAAAAGTTAGGCCTTTTTTTCTTGTTCTAATAAATTAGAACCACCATCAATCAAGCTGATAAAATGAAAATAGTACTTAACTATTAAAAATTTGTGTAAAAAAACAAGTTACTACGTGGTAACTAATAATTACAAAGTCAAAAAACAATTTTATTTACTTATAAAAGTATTATAGTGAAACAATTACAAATTTAACAACCTAATAGTCCAATAATATGAATTTGTTAAATCAATTACGAACATCTAACCTTTTGATGCCCTTTTTGTTGACATAATTACCTTGAGCTATGTACACTACATAATATACTCCGTATTATTCATTATTTTTTGAGCTTTTATCTTTATTGGACCCTGTGCCATTGCACTTGGAGCACATGGCCGGCCACGGCCGGCCCTGGTACATAATAAAGTTATTTATTGTACAATCAACATATGGAAAAAAGAAAATGAATAGAAATGTACTCAAATATATTCAAGTATTCCTTCAGACCTATCATATACAGTCAATAAAATATTTTAGCTAAACTAAAAATTATTCAACATCAAATAGGGTAAGTGAAAGCCATATTGGTTAATTAATCACTTCACATTTGTGTATAATTAGTCAATCAAAATAATGGCAACCACGATCTGGATTATTTAAAATTTACAACATTACTAGCATATTACAAACAATATTCATAATTACTCTGATAGTATATTCTTTTCATAATGGCATTCAGTGGAGGACCTGGGGAAGGGCCTAGGGGGGCAAGTGCCCCCGCTTCCGACCATGAAGTTTATATTAGTACTTAAATTAAAAATTGTGTCCTCCTATCCGGACAAAAAATTAGAGTATTTGTCATAAATATTACCGAAATATAACAAATGAACAGAAGTATGATCACTAAAATTGCTATGGTAGTTTCTAAGTCATATTTTTGTCCACTATCTTTATATAAATCATATTGTCATTATTTCAAAAACTATTAGATATATAGGACTCCATCGAAGACATATAATAATTGTAGTAAGAAATACTCCCTCCGTCCCGAAAAGGTTTGTCAAATTTCCTTTTTGGAATGTCCCAAAAAGATTTGCCATTTCCATTTAAAGTAAAGAATATGTGGCTAAAGTCAATTCTCTCTCCTCTGCACAAATTTCAACCACACAGTTTTCACTTTATTAATCTACGTGAAAGTCAAAGTTGGCGAACCTTTTCGGGACGGAGGGAGTATAAACAACTCTGAAGTTGTGATGGAGCAATTTTTTATAGTTAGATATGTTGTTATATGGTTCCTACACTTTCTTTGAAAAGTGGCATTGATAATTTTTTTACGTGGTGTGAATAATGTCAGTCCAAAGTTAAAATTCAAAGATATGACAAAGGTTCTAATATGCGGGATAAACTTAATAGATTGAAGACTTTTATCTTGAATAAAAATACATGAAAAAATGTGTCAAATCGTGATAAATTAGTTTCAAACGGACATACCCTTTAATTTTTTCTATAATATGATACTCGTAAAAGGTAGATATATAGAATCATATTATTAAATAAAGTTGTACTTCGTATTAGATGATGAAATCGTAAACTTGACGTATACTTCATTTTAACATGATAGTATTATATTTCAGACAAGTACCAACAAATTTTATGGCACAATGTATAAGAACGACGTGATCCTAGTCCAAATATGAAATCTTGATCATTTTATAGTATGAAAAATAGCAAAAATTCTAATGTAAAATCAGAAACGGCGCAAAGATGAGTCATTTCTAATCCGCCAAATTATGTCTTTCTTTCAGAAAGTCAAATATTATTGTTCAGAATTGTCTTAATGAGTTCACAATTAGACTTATAATCCCTATATGTTCATTGCTTGACGTCGACATTAAATAATCTATTTCCTATAAAAAAAAATAATTTGAATGCATTTGACAAAAAAGATCAATGATACACCCAATTCGACCTGACCCGACCCATTTTAATCTATGGGGGAGTGCGCCTGCTTCGAAAAAACTTCTGGGTCTGCCACTGATGACATTCAAGTGAGGATTTCTTCTTTATATATTTCTCCATACATAAATGTATTAATGAACAAAAACTAAAAGCAACTTTGTCTATAATGAGAGAAAAGCTCATAGTTAACTTTGTCTATAATGAGAGGAAAGCTCATAGTTAAAACATATAATCCCATCAAAAAATGTTTTTAATGATAGGATATCTATTATCGTCATCCGTCACTATTGCTTCCGCGGTTAAAATAATACAGAGTATATGAAAGTGAATGTTTTTTTAATACATTTAATCACTATCTTTTTTTTTGGTAAAACATTTAATCACTATCTAGTACTATGTACGGAGTACTATTTTGTTTTTATGAACAAAAACACTGTCATTAATACACTTATGTAGTGACAAAAAATCTCTCATTACTATGATATTTACAAAAAGGATGATAAAATTAACATTATCAAAGTTCAGCTTCTCTCAGCGCAATTGGGCTAGCTCATCGGGTAATTAAACAATTGAAACTAAGCGAAACATGGGAGTTAGGCCTCGTGACCGTAGAATTTTTCACATTGCTGTTGAAATTTGAATTCTGGGATCAAGGGTTTTCTTCTAAAAGATTTGAAATAGCGCGGGTAACTGCAAGTTTTACCGCTTTTAAAAATTATATGCGAAGAAGATATCCTCATCAAACGAATAGTTTTTTACTACCGGACTTTTACCCTCACAAATACCTTGCAAAAAAGTTATTAATGAGAGGTTTCTTAAATGGTCACTAATATTTGTAATTAAATGTTGTTTTTCTTGTAGTAAAAATTGTTAGTATAGTTATTGTAGAAATGCTTTCATAGTTATCAAAATATAAAACTAATCATAAAAATAATCACCGAAGCTACATTTTTATCCGCTGCCATCTTTAATTACTTAATGTATTCATCATTATTTTTCTAAATGTAATGACACAATGGGATTCCAAATAAATCTTATTTAATTAATTTTATCACATACTTTTTCGTTATGTTGGGCACTACCAAAATCGAATAATTATCATCTTCATCCACACCACATAAGTAAACCAGAATCTTCCATTAAAATCTGTCTAACCTTTTCTTATCTATAGAAATATCTAACCAGGCACACTCTAAGTTCAACAATCCTATTTGATTGTAGATTTGTAGTACTTTAAATTCCCCGGCCACTAGGTCACTAGGCCAATTTGTGTGTTTTGAAATAGCTTTACAAAACGCTTCTTACACGTTATTCACTTGAAGTCTCAATAAATTCCACACTTTATCTCTTCATCCATCACCTTATTTATTTCAAAAAGATACAAACCATATATAACTTAAAGTCTTAGTTTACGAGTATACTATACTTTTATAGTGTGAATATTTGACTATAAGGAAATATAGCTACCTTTACTTTAGTTTAACGTATTATTTTATGTGATATGTACTACGTCTATTACTATATTAGTGGTTGAGTACACATTAATCAGGTGGACGAGTATCAAATTTAGACATCGAGCGAATCAGATTAGACCAAATTTAAGTAAATTCGATGAAATTTGATCATAATAGACTCCAACAATTGTAAGGTACGTACACATGAGACACAATTTTCTCGACCAATTCTGATGAGACGAGACTAAAATAGACTAGATCAGAAAATTACATTCAATTAGAAGCATCTAAGTGTTGTGGATTAAGAAAAACTCCGCTTCTTGTACGGGGTAATATCTTCTTCCCTTTATGGAACAAAAAAATTACAGCCTCTACAGGCGCAGTATGTGGATGCGAAGAGTATATATTTATGGATATATGACTGACTCAAATAAAAGTCAACGAGTTAATAGGAAGACCACATGGGAGCAGATTCTCTTCTATATTCCCCGTTACAACTTTTGGAAAAAAAGATAGATACATACATATGAACTATGGGCAAATTTGCTCCTCCAAACCGCATTCAGTTTCAACTTTCAATGGAAACCTCCGGCAGCGGACAACGGCACATTGCGCGGCGGAGATGGCAGCAACGTCATCGCAAATATGCCACTCGCGGCGGCCGAAATTGCTCCTACTACAAATGCAGGTAAGTTCCCGCCTCCGAACAGAGAGTCCCAGGGCCCACTCAAGAACGACACGAACATCTAAAAATAAAAAAATGAATGAATGAATAAATATATTGAATGTCACGAATCAGTTAATATAGGAAAATATTGCTTGCACACGCTAAATTGTACACGATATTTTACACGTCAGTTAAATTATCAGTATATAAATATATTTTTCATGTTATGAAGAGAATCGTTTTTGCAACAACAAAAGAATGTCTGATCACAAATAAAATTTGTGCACAAATAATTTAAACGGCGTGTAAAATATCGTGTACAACCAACATGTATACTTGATTAATATAATAATACTAATGTAAAATAGTAATGATCAATGTATAGTAGTAATCGAAGTTACGCTGTACCTGCGGTATGACGATGGAAAGATTTAGGACGCCCAAGGAAAGACCTGCGGAAAAATAAATGTATTTGTCGTTACATGACATATCGATCATTATTATTGAATAAAGTATTAATTCCAATTGTATTTTATTTATGTATCCAATTCGATTTACTGAAAAATAGTGCATTGGTGCGTACTATAGAGATTAGTGAAGTACCAGTAGTTAGCTTTGATTAAGAGCATACGTTACCTAACCATGTAATTAGAAACATTTTTTAAAATAAATGCTGAATAGGAGTACGTAAATCATGTACTGGGGGGCATGTTAAGAAACACGGTTAATAATATTTTAATATCAACATAAAACGTGTTTTGGTCTGATCTAATAATTAATTGTGTAAAGTATGTAAAATTCCATAATATAGTAGTGATTGAAAATGTAAAATACGTTTTCAGGGAGAAAATTAGTGGTCTAAAGTGGGAATCTGTTTTATTTGGGCCCTATTTAAAATGTTTTTCTACAAATTAATCATGGGAGAAGGTAATATTATTGTTCAAAATAATAAACGTAATATTCAATCGCTTGGGACATCAGAACAATTGTCTGTAAGGGGATATTAATATGTGAATTTAATGTCAAGAATATAAAATATTTATATTATCATGGTACTCCGTATTAAATAAGCTTTTAAATGTTCTGTATCTTACAATGTTTGAATGTACAGAAATTTCCGTCAGAAAATCAATTCATATTTACTCCATATTTAATACGGAATATCCTCTCTTCACAATTTTTTCTTTATGTGTAATTAAATTTAAAGTTTGGAAAACATGTTAACATGCATAATAGGGAGTACAATTTTTAGTTTCCTAAATCCGTACAAAAAAACTGATAAATGATAGAATCATTATTAAACATGTCAGTGCACACTTGTTGTACTTGTACAGAACAATAATAATAATAATAAATCAATAATGATTGGCTCTTCGAAGAAAAGACGAAGCTCACTTTACTTCGTAATCTCCGTATGGGTTTTATAAATATGCGGGACATGAGCTGTTTGTTTTTATTTTTTTAATTTAAAAAATATTTTATAGTCACGAAAGTTAATATTCCTTTTCTCCCGACAGTGACACCAGAACATTTTGCAATGGAAAAATTCACGCTAATTTCAAATGTCTACGTAGAAAGATGATAAAGTGACTAAGTAACGTAGGGGTAATTCTTTGTAATTATCCTAAAGTTTAATCTTCGGATATACGGAGTACTCCTTAGTTTTCTGTTGAGATATTGTCTGAAATAGTAAAGAAATGTGAAAATTTTAAATAAGGGTATTCCATTAATATTAATAATGTCATATTAACATATAAAAAGTTGTAATGTAAAAAATATCAGTATCACGTGCTTCAAGATGTGAATATTATCTTTTACTCCGTATTTACAAAGAATATCATACTCACGTTTTGAACTCTATTTTGGGACATCTGCCCTTGTAATTTGCTATTGCATTTTAGGGAACCTATAAACCTTTGAGTATAGTTTTGAATGTGTCAGTTTTAATTAACGAAAACGATTTCAATAACCATGTTAGAGACAATTCATCTTTATGATCAATTAAACCTAAAACTATAATTGTGAAAATATAGAGAGAAATAACGGATAACTTTTTCCAATTACTCTAATATCATTACAATATGTGACTTAATAAAATTATTGAATGATCAGACAAAAACTGAAAAACTGTTTTCATGTACGTATTTTGCAATTAAAATGTAAAAAAATTGGTCATATTTGTACTAAAAGGAAAAACATTATATTTTAAAGGAATGGGGATAATAATTTTTGATTAAAAACTTTAAACTGAATCTTTTATAGGTTTTCCCGTACCTTGCCCGGCGCCAGCATTGCTCGAAAAGATGGATGCCAGAGCGAATGGGATGCTAAAAGTAACCTGTAAATAGAAATGCAAAGTTGGTAAATAAAGTGACACGGGAAATGAATTTAATTTGTAGAAAATTATTCACGTTCAAAACATACACATGTTGTACAAAATTTAAAAGTAAAAGTATATAAACTTATCTAGTTCTATTATAAAAATAAATTGATTAAAGTTTCTCAAAATAAGAGTGAATAAGTCTAATTTTGAGAATAAAACAATAATTTTCCAAACATTATTTGTGCTTAAAAATACTATTCCAATTTTGAAATTGTTTCAGGATGTTTTCGTTTGGACTGAAATTTGCTGATCTAGTCTGGTCTGATCTGGTTTGGTATTGTAAACGTCTTTTGTATACTTTGTAATTATAAAAGTATGACCCAATCTAGTTTGATTTGGTCTGGTACTGAAAACAGTTAAAAAAGCATCCTCAGTCTCATAATTAAATCAGGCAATTTTAGTAAGTCCGGAAATAGGAACCCCGGAAATAAGGTCAATTAATTACCGCAAGAGGAATCCCGAGGACGGAGAATAGAACCAAAGCGCCGGCCTTAACGCCGGCCGTCGGCGGCAGAACGTTGCCGCTGGAATCTAACCGCCGGGAATGCCCCGCCATTTTCGTGACCAAAACCGTCATGGCCAAGCAAATCGCCAAGACAAAGTTCACGCCGCCCCAGAGCTTCTTCACGCCGCCGAACCGCCGCGCCATGACCTCCACCCCGATCGACGTGAAACCCAAAACCACCGAGTTGAGGAGCAAACCCAGAGCTCCGGCATGCACGCCCTTCGCATAAAGCTTGTCGCCGACCTTGCCGCCGTACACCTCCTTGGCCATCCAGTCGGTGTCGTACAACAGGAAAGGGAACCAGGCGATCCAGTTAAGGGCAGTGACCAGTAAGAGAATCCACATCGCCCTAGGAAGGTCCTTAAAGGCGCCGAAGATTTCCCCAAAGAAGGGCACCCCGCCGGCCTTCGCCTTCTCCCCGCCTTTTCCGTCAACGGCGACGTTGACCTGCTGCTCTTTGACGAAAGTCAACGCCAAGGTCGTCACGGTGAGGAGGAGAGCGACGGAGATGAAGAAACAGCTCTTGAGATTGGCGCAGTAGAGGTCGCAGGCTTTTGTCATCGAGAAGGGGAAGATTTTGTGGAGGCCGGAGTAGCTGCCGGCGGCGTAGCCGAAGACGTTTCCGACCGCCATGAAAAATGAAAAGAGTACGTTTGAAGCCCGCATTTTGTCGGTATTCCCGCTTGCCAGATCAGCCAATAGTGCTCTGCATGGACCCTGATTAAAAAAAACACCATTAATGGTAAAAAATTACAAATATAAATACCAACACACACACAGATATATATATATATATATATATATATATATATATATATATATATATACCAATATACCAATTAAGTTAATGATACAAAAACCCTTTACATATTTGGGGTCTTAATATATTCAGTCTCAAAAAGAATGTTAGAGTTTAATATAGAAATGGCTCCAAATAAGGGTATGAAAGGAGCATAATTGGTTTGTTCTAAAAAAAGTGCCTATATTCATATAGAGAATATGGATGTTTTCTTTTGGACTGAAATTTGGTGGTCTGGTCTGGTCTGGTCTGTTTAAGTCTGGTCTGGTCTGGTCTGGTCTGTTTAAGTCTGGTCTGGTCTGGTCTGGTCTGAACTGGTCTGGTCTGGTCTGGTAAACGTCTGGTCTCTGTGTATTTTATAACTACGGAAGTCTGGTCTGGTCTGGTCTGGTCTGTTTAAGTCTGGTCTGGTCTGGTCTGGTCTGGTCTGTTTAAGTCTGGTCTGGTCTGGTCTGGTCTGTTTAAGTCTGGTCTGGTCTGGGACTGAAAACAGTCCAAAAGAAAACATCCTATATAGTACTTACCTTTTTTGTTTTAGGAATAGTGGATGATATTTTCAAAAACATGGTGGTATTTTCTTGAAAAATATACTATTCCGAATATTTTGGTTATTTATTACTCTAATCTCATGAGCCAATCATTAATTCGTCCTAAATCATGCATCATTAATGTGTTAGTTTTGACTTTTACATATGACAATGCATAGTTTTGATAAGTCATAAATCCATTATTCATATATGTCATCATAAATTGAATTGGCTGATACTCCGTATATCAGTAAACATTACATCAAAAGTTATATGTTGAATTTTTAATTATATTTTTCATCATATGATTTGTTAATTTAAGAAGTAGGTGAGTGTTTAATCTTCTCGAACGAATAAAGAAAGAGATTTATTATTTTATATATTACCTTCTACGGCGTATCCTTAAAGGGTTGGTGGGAGAAATAAAAGTAAATATATTTCCTATTCTTAGGCCTTGAAATTTGCCATGTTCAAATATTCAATTATTAAAATTCCAACTTGATAAAACCAAACAATTATATGGAGCATTAGGAGTTTTTTTCAAATTAATGTTAAAATAAAATTATTTACTTTTGAGTTAAAAGTATTTACCAGAAATTATTTTAGCATTATTTTGGAAAATATCTTGTGCATTACAACCATACAACCCATAAAAAATTTAATTTCCCAAAAATATTTAAATAATTTATTTCTGAAAAAGTAAATTAATTTTCATGAATTTCATCCGTAGAATAAGGTAGGGTCGTACAGAGTATTACTTACCTGTAACATATTATTGGCAACATCTAGGATCCAAAATCCAACGGCAAAAACAACAACCGATCGCGGCTTAGTGGTCTTATCGAGAAGATCGCCGGCGGCGTGGCCAATGTCGGCGGCGAACCCAATGAGCGTGACGGCGAGAATGACGAGCAACGCCCCGGAGGCGATAAAGGGTCGCCGGCGACCGAACCGCCACGTGCAGTTGTCGCTGTAGTAGCCGACGAGCGGCTGGACGATCATGCCGGAGATGGGGCCGCACAGCCACATGAAGGAGGCGAACTTGTGGGGCACACCGAGGAGCTGGACGTAGGGGGTGAGGAGGGAGAGCTGTAGGGCCCACCCGAACTGCACGCCGGCGGCAATGGACGCCACCAGCACTATCTTCCACAACGGGGTCTCCGCGGCGGCTACCTCCGCCGCGTCCTCCACCTGCATGGCGGAGGCGGATTTTTTCCCGTTGACGGAGGCCGTCGTCTCCATATCCGTGAAACGTTAGTATAGTCTTAGTGAGGAGAAATGATTGGATGGGGTAAGGTGTAGTGTGAGTTCATGTGAGGGAGGGGCACGAGAATATATAGAGAACAATGAATGTCTGGAGGTTGGATGTTGGGAGCTACAACACTTATCCACTTGCGCAAGGTTGACTTGTTGACTCGTCATCTTTTTTCATTTTTACAAAAAAAAATTATTTTGACACATCAGAATACTAAAATTAGTAGTTTAAATTAATGTTTAAACATTATTTTGAATATCTGCGGACGGCAGAGATACCATTTTTTATCGTTTTGTTTCGTGTTTTATCTCTATTGTCAACAGGGATGGATTTAGGGGGGCGTGGGGGGCGACCGCCCCCCTTTGACATTCAATTTTTTTTACCATATATGTAATATTTTCATAAAACTTTCATAATTTAATTAGATTCGCCCCCCTTAGCTTTTTTAATTTTCAAAATTAGTATATAGTCTTACATAATGTAATACTTAATTGGAGATTTAAAAGAAGAAACATCTAAAATAATTTACATAACTTAAACAAATAAACAATAGAGTAACTCGTTATTTAAGATTTAGGATACTTATTATATAAGAATTCATAGTTTTGTAATGTTTAATTATCTTTATTAGATAACAAGTACTAGATTTTGTAAAACATATATTAAACAATATTAAATACCAGACACACTAATTACACAACTTTTAGATCACGTGAAATGAATCCAAAATATAAATATTTATAGACATTAGATTACATAATTCATTTACTTCTTGCTTTCTAAAAATAATTTATTGCATGGATAATAAACTTTAAATTATTATAGAATTAATAAAAATATTAAAATATAATATGCACCATATGTGTGTGTATGTGGTGCATATTATTCTAAAAATAACAATCCCATACATACTAGTATACTACTATTGTAATATTAAGAAAACTTCTCATGAGTCATGACTCACAAACACCCCCATTGGTGGACAAAAATTACAATTCAATAACCGATTCATGAGGTTAAACAATGTAGAAGTTATTAAAAATGTATTGGTTGATGTTTTTGTCATCGTCTAAATTTAGAATGTAATAGATTTAAATGCCGCTCGGGATGTGCATGTATTAATGTAATTTTTTGAATAAAAATAGACGCATAGCTTTATAGCAACGAAAAAATTTCACCCCGCTACACTAGGGGAAAAATTTCACCCCCGCTACACTAACAAAAAAAATTCACCCCTACACTAGCGAAAATTTTCGCCCCCCTTGACTCAGAATCCTGGATCCGTCCCTGATTGTCAGCCATAAAAATCCTCATGTTATTGTCAGCCACCTAACAAACATTTTATTGATTTAATATAATTTGTCTGTTTTGATGATCAAAAAAATATTAAACGTAAGAACATTTTCTATGTAATGTGTTATCGTGAATATGTGTCAAAAGATATATAGACACAAAAGAATAAATTATTAGAAAGTTTATTTCTTTCTTTCTACAGTGTGATAATTTCTAGACAACATTTTTAACATTGTAATTTAAAATAATAGAATATTTAATAAACCATGGAAAGAATGAGGACGAGTTTCTATTAATTTTTGACTCCGTTCCAGAAAGATTAACCAATCTAACCTTTTTGGTCAATGATGTTAAAGTTTATAAAAATCATTCTACATGTTATACTTGAATGTAATTTATAAGTAGTAATATTTATACTTTTGGGAAAGATTTTTTAATAAAGATTATGCTCATATAATTGTCATATTTTAAATAATTTCGTGTTAAAAATATGATTGTTCAAACTTGATTATTGTTACTCATAAAAAGTCATTTTGGACAATCTTTTTGGGAGTAGAATTTTTTGTTTATATCTCTCCTGCCACAATACTTTTGTGCTGGAGATGCTCTCACAAATCATGAAACAATGACTTGGATTATTGGATAAGTTATCTTTCATTGGTGGATTATAAAAGCTGATAAGTTTAAAACTGTAAACGGTCATGTTTATCCGTGGAATTTCAATAGGAAAGTTATAATTACTTTGGACTATTTTGAGAAAATGTGGATACTTTTCTTATTTTGATTGATGAAAACAATTACTGAAGCGATTCTGATATCCAGTTTTCTTTTATAGATTCTTTTTGAATCTCAAATTCAATACATATAAAGATTTGTTGTAGTTAAGCCCGAGACAAATTTATCCAGCCTTTCAAAACTTATCCAAACATCAACATTCAACGGAGTCTTCAGATTGTACATTGACGTTGAATTCGCTCTGAAATCTGAACACAATTAAAGAGGGTCAATAACTTATGAAAAACACTTATGAATTTGTTACTCCGTATTAATTATTTTACAATAGATAATCGTGATAACTTTTGGTGAACACATATAATTGTACGACTACGTGTATTACAAATATACTATGTGCCATTTACAACTTTGTACCCGATTAAACCCAACTCATCCCCAATAACCCAAAACAATCTAATAGTGCCGGTTTATTTTAAAATTTTTATAATTAGTACTTGAAACTCTTTATTAATCAAAATCAGAATTCAAGAGCAGAAGGGCTGTTTTCACATTCTTTGAAATTCAGGAAAATGGAGCTTTTTTCATCACTCAATTATATAGAACCAGTATAAAACTAGTATAAAAACATCATTCACTTTCATAATTTGACACCAGGTTTTCAGATTTAGTATTACAACTTATTTTCCTGCGAACAGATTTCCTAGTCTTTCTCTCGGGAGAACTAATCGTTCTTTTGAAAAAAGGAGAATCCATGTGAATGCCAATGGTCAAAGATTGTCACAGACAGACTGGAAGATCTGTAAGTACTAACTCAAATATGCTATTACTGTTATTCGTTGTTTTTCATAATCAGGAAAGATTTGTTTGAAAACTTTTTAAATTTTCCCTGTTGTACTAAGGTAAGTTACATAAATTTCCTATCATAAATGTGAAGAATCCAAATCGAGGATTAAAATTGTCTTAGTCACAAAAAATCGACCAATTTGTGGGGAGAGTTTCTTTTCACCGATATGTCGACGGAGGCTTCTTTAAAAAAAAAGGATGACACCCCATTCCTGAGGGGCCCCCAACACCGACCGGACGGCACGATGGGAGGATGTAAATTGGACTATAATCACAATCTGACAGATAGAGAGTGTGCCTCCGTTCCTGGTACTTGCAGAGATCCTCTATTGAGTAACCTCTCATCGCAGTTGCCGGAAGTCGAATCCGGGACCTAACCCTTGTGGCACTCCCTCGCTACCAGTCGACGGAGGCTTCTTTTGTTTTTACTATATGTAGCTGGATGAATTTTCTTTACCAATTTGGTAAACCACTATCTCTTTCTATCAATTTGGCCCCTTATCCATGAGATTTCAAATTAATGCACAAAAATCACAATAAAATTCTTTTTTATTTGACACAAAATACATAAAATAATATCTGTGTATGCATATATTTTGGCACGTAGCGAGTATAAACTTCTAAGTCAACTTTTTTTAAGGTCTCATTCAACTTCTAATCACTCGATTGAAGAGATTAACTTTAAAAAGTAAAGTTGTAGAATTGACATATATTTGAATATTTCTATAGACTCTTGAATATAAGTTTTGGATAGCTATATTCTAACCAAGAGCCCATTTTGTAATCCACAATTTCAGCTTATTAATTTTATCAGTAGACCAATTTATTAAAATAATTATGTATGCTGAATGTGTAATAATTATAAGTTTAAAGTTATTTTTCTGACTGAATTTATTGTAAATTAAAGCACCACTAACATTTTAGCTATTTTAAATATAACATTTTCTTTATTATCTTTATCAAATATATTTTAAATGAAAATTTTTCATAATTGAGCTGTTTTAGTCAGATTTTCATCAATTTAAGTAGATTCAAGTGATTCTATCAATACCAATATAATGTTATCAAACGCACTCTACACAACCTCTTATGAGATTAAAAAATATTTCATTCATTAGAGCATGAAATTAAAGCCATTATAACAAAAATAGAAAAGGAAAATAACTGTAAATAATACCGATTATCATCTATAAACTAATAAAAAATACATACACTTTTGAAAATATTTTCTAATAATACCAGCTACTTGGATTGAGCTAAAGAATAGCATGTAGTCACTTTTTATAAGAAATTCTATCATTTAAGATATAAAAGTAATATCAAACCACCAAATATTGATATTTAGATATACAGTCATTTCTTTGATATTTAGACATTGGTTTTTGATGAGTTAAGAGATCACCGAATTCTTAGTGAAAATTGGCTTTATATGATTTTTTATATATATAATAAAGAATGTGTATTCTTCTTGATTCATGGAAGATAATTTGTACCACACATTATTTAAATTTTACTTTCCCATTGATGTTTTTACTTGGACTGCAATTTGCATGTCTGGTCTGGTTTGTTTAAGTCTGGTCTGGTCTGGTCACTGTGTATTTATATCTATAGAAGTCTGGTCTAGTCTGATCTGTTTAAGTCTGGTTTGACTTGATCTGGTCTATTACTTTTGGTGTGATTTGATCTGGGACTCAAAAGAGTCCAAAATTTAAATTTTGTTTCCCTAATGCACGATTTCTTCGTTGACAAAACAGTCAAAACTTAAACTTAAACCTCCCATTCCTACTATGTTTCCCTAACTGCTTGCCGTTTAGATTAAAGGGTATCCAAAATTATCATTATATGTCCCTAAATGCACACTCAATAGTAGAAAAATATTACAATTCCCATAATGCTTTATTTAAAAAAAAAGTGATGGGTAGTTAAGGAATTGAATTGAAGGAGTGAATATATTCTATTGTTCCAAAGAAAAAAGGTTGAGTCCTCAACTCCAAGGGCCCTCAATGCCCCGGTCCGACAAGACTTTTGGAAGATTGTGAGTCACGGTGACTCAGTCGATCCAATGGTAGTAGACCTTGTACCCGTGCATATCAGAGGTCCAGTTCAACACACAGGAGCTGTAACCTACACACGGCCGATGCGGTTTTCAATCCTTGATCATTCTTTTAACTTTTTCACCACTAAAT